CCAGTATTTTTTTGTCATTTGATCTTGTTTTAAATCTTCATTTAGCTTTAGTCAGGGCCCCTTGAAGGATGCACCAAACCTGATCTGTACCCCACATGCAGCCTGGTATAGTGAACAAGCCTCAATTGAGATGCGGGAGGAAGCAGCACGAGAGATCCGAAGGGCGATCACAGGTACTAACTCACCATATTAGCTCCTTCACTGTGTATTTCTTTTTAACAATCTTTTTCATTCTTCAGTCCTGAAAGACGCTGAAAAGAGCCAGGCTCAGGTTTTGTTTACCACTTCTAATATTTGGAACGTAGAAACTAGCAAATACCCACTAAGTCTGTTCTCAGAACTGGAACAGATCATTTTGGAGGTTCATTGCGATTACAAAGAGACGGCAGGCACTGCAAAAATAAGTACTTTTTCCATATAACAGAAATGTACTTACATGTGAAAAAACCACTTTGTTGTTGTTGTTGCTTGTAAATATTACCCATTTGATGGGTTTGACTGCAAGTCACCCAGATATTGCTGGTATCTTTCACAGGTTTTCCTAGATGCCCCCTTATACTCGTCATGAGCAGTTCTGTTTCCTTTATTCTTCTCTTTTTGACTCCTTTGTATTTTCCAAATTTCATCCAAATTTGTCTTAGAGGACAGTCTGGAATTTCAGTGTCTTTAAGGCTGTAATGTTCAGAGGTAAAGCATCTAGAGCTTCATGCTGTTCCTAGTAATGCTCATATCTCGACAACTCATTCTCTACGTCAAAATAAAGTTTTCAGTATTTTGTTGGGCGGGTGCTCTATTTTAGATGTTCCTTTCTTTAAAGCATTGCTAAGGAAGCCTGGCATTTTAAAGAGCAAAGTCTCTTTGTTATATAACTACCATGTAATTGTAAACTGTTCACATAAGAGAAAACAGTTATGTCTTGAACATGCACTGCTAATAAATAAAATGAGAAGAGCAAGCCATTTGGCATGGGTTTGAATCCCTTGTAGCCTAAAATAAAAGGAAGGATTTTCATACTGGAAAATGATTCATTAAGCGCTAATGTTCTCTCTTTAGTAGGACTTTGCTGTTTCCCCCTTGGCAATATAGGGTGAATGCTCTACAGATATGAAGGGCCATCTGTGTCACCTTGAGAGTAGCTCAGTGCCAACACATTGCTCTGCTATGCAAAAAGCACTAGCAGTAGCCTTTCCTGTATCTTGTGCCTAGAGAGGCTGGGCAATTTAGTTTCATTTACAGCCTGTGCAGAAAGAAGATTCTCTGGATGGTGATTAAAGGCACCTCTTAAACTCGTGGTCTGAATTGCCCTTTACCAGGACTATTTCTCTCTGGTTTAGAGGTAACTTAAAGAGTCTGACCATCCCTTTGCTCATACTCCAGAAGAACTCTAATAGTACGTTCGTTAAGTTGTATAACTATTACCTGCTCCCAAATAGCTCTGGGAGCGATTGCACAAACCAGCATACGATACCTACTTGGGGGGTGATTGATGTGCAAATAAGCATTAACAGGCTAAGATGTGAAAACTGAGTAAGAGTCAGCTGTACGGAGCTAGTTTTATGTTAAATATTGTGCAATAGCCCAAACATATGTGCCTGGGATGACAGACCTATATTTTCTTCAAGTGTGTGATTGTGCTATCAGCAATCTAAATCATTGATTTGTATTGAAGCTGTCAGGACTTCAGTGTTTGCACATGGTTTGTAGTAAGATCAAACTGAGGCCAACATTAGGGAGGTGAGAATGACATTGAATTGCAGTAAAACAAATGTGGGAAAGATACAGGAAGTGTGGGATAAAGCTGGATACGTGAAAGCCATAGGGGAACACAGAGGAGAGAGGGTGTAGAGAGAGAAACTAATTGGAAAAAGGTGTACAGTGAAGGAATGCAGGCTATGACTACCATGTGATGATAAAGATGTTAAGTGGTTCTGCTGTTCCGAAAAAGTCAGTGACATTCTGATGTATAAAGTAAAAATAATAAGCAGAGATTAAATATCTTTAAATATATTTTTGAACATCAAAACATTCAGAGTATTAAATAAGGAGGACCACTGAAAACAGTAATGGAAGAAACGGGAAGGCGAGCATGGCAAGTGAAAAGATCATTACTGAAATAAGCTTTAAATAAATAAATAAATACTGTTTTGTAAGGGGAGACTAGTAGAACATGCCTACAGAAGTTAGCAAAATGAAGAATTGAGAGGGGCAAGGAGGAAGACAGGATTGCAGTTTGAAGGATAAACATCGGAAGAAGAAAGATACTATCAAAATCTATGGACAATTTTGGCAGAAGTTTAGATGAATATGTATTGCAACTAACTTTTGAAGATGATTTCTAATCAGGAGAATGGTAGGAATTCACCCATAATGGGGCATGTACCTCATCTTGTCCAATATTGAACTAAGAAGCCCTTTCGGCTTGTGCATAGGAGATGGGGAAAGTTTTAGTGACAGAAGCGCAAGTCATGGAGTAACAAGTATTTGATAGTATCCACTAGACAAAAAGCAATTCTGTGAAAAGGCTTTTTTACAGCCCCATTGTGGCCAGGCTGATGGAAGAAAGAGCAGGCAAAGTAGTGAAGTCCTTAATCAAATTTCCAGTAGGAAGTCGGAGACAAAAAGCCTGAATTCTTTAATGATGGAGCACGGTCAGTTTTTGAAAGCGTTTCTGGAGGACTACTGCCAACAGTAGCAAAGGTAGACTCAAGCTCGGCTCTTTCTACCTCTGTGTGTGCAAATGCGCAGTAAGAGTAAACTTTAAAAAGGATACATTAAAACAGATGTCAGAAAAAACACAGGCTCTGATTGATCTCCCATTGAAATAGGTGGAAATATTCCTGTTGCCATGAAGAAAATGTGTATCGTATCTGTTCATGTCATTTTTTGCAGGGCTGGAGATAGTTCTGCAGAAGACAGAGGCTTGTCCAGTATGTGCTGAATCAAGTTGACAGATTTTCCAGTATCTGTGTCTTAAAACTTTAGTTATACTTCAGAGGTTAAGCAAAAGTTTTGAAGGAATGAAGAAGGGGGTTTTCTGGTGTATTTTCATTTTTTGTAGGAATGAAAGAGATGGCTGAGGATTAATAGATCATAGTAAATAAATGTGAAGAGCAATTGAGATGAAGAAGGGGAAGATCAGGAGGACAGGAAAAAAGTGTCGGTCATATTCAGGTTTATGGCAAAATTCCATTCAGAATCCTACATTCTCCAATAAGTGTTTTTATTGCTGTTACACATGGAGGGAAAGGGAGGAAAATGAAGTTAAAGACAGAGAGCAGGAGGCTACATTACTGAATTTGAGTGGCAGCCATGCTCTATATTCAAGTTTTAGCTTCTTGGAAAGCATGAATCTTGTTGATTATGGTTTTACTGAGACCCTGTATACAAAAGACAGAGACAGAGAACTAAAAATTATGCAGAGCATTTTACCCATTATTAACGAAGTCTCAGACAAAAGGGGAATGGCGAGGATCAAAGCTCTTAGTGTGATTTTTAAGTATTGATTTAAATATGCAACTATTTGTAACTGTTTTTAACATAGATACATTAAGAGCATAAGGCATACAATTTTTATGGTTTTTTATTTCCTCTTCCTGACTTCATCCTAGGTCGTATTCCAGACAGTCTGAAAAACTGTGTTAACAAAGATCATTTGACTGCAGCTACACATTGGGCCAGCATGGATCCTGGAGTTGTTCATCCAGAGCTTAATGGTGCTGCATACAGGTAAGCGTGCTGCAGGTGTAAAAGAAATACCTCCTTAATTCAGAGGTATGTATTCCGGAATAAATAAAAGACCTTCCTATTAATAAATGAAATGGTTTTGGATTAGGACCCAGCTATATTGTTTTCATAATTGTTGCATTCAGGAGAATGATCTTGGTTTGCTAGTTGAAGTCAGTCACGCAGTGCATAAGTACGTTTCCTTTTCTTATCTTTTTTGTGTGGTCAGTAATATCTAAACAATATACAGTGTTTTCTGTATTCCATTAAAACAATTCTGGTCATCTCCAGTGAGTGCAGTGGAAGTTTATGTTCCTTTTGCTGAAGGTAATGATACAGCAGTAGGTTACAGAAAGACTTTTAATAATAAACTATTGTTATGTGGTTTTGTGGCCTCCAGACACACAAGAGAACAAATAACTCAGTAGTGAATACAGTGGAATAGCCTGTGCTGATTATGAAAATATGTTTAAACTAGTGTTTTCTAAATTACACGTTGTCCTGGTTTCGGCTGTGGTAGAGTTAATTTCCTTCCTAGTAGCTGGTACAGAGCTGTGTTTTGGATTTAGGGTGAGAACAATGTTGATAACGCACCAATGTTTTAGTTGTTGCTGAGCAGTGCTTACACTAGTCAAGGACTTTTCAGCTTCCCATGCTGCACCGACTGAGCAGGCTGGAGGTGCACAAGAAGCTGGGAGGGGGCACAGCCAGGACAGCTGACCCAAACTGGCCAAAGGGACATTCCATACCAGATGATGTCATGCTCAATACATAAACTGGGGGAAAGCTGGCTGGGGGGGCCGCTGCTCGGGGACTGGCTGGGCATCGGTCGGTGGGTGGTGAGCAATTGCATTGTGCATCACTTGCTTTGCATATTCTTTTATTATTATTGTTGTTATTATTACTATTTTATTTCAATTATTAAACTGTTTTTATCTCAACCCATGAGTTTTTCTCACTTCTACTCTTCCAATTCTCTCCCCCATCCCACCGGGGTGGGGGGAGTGAGCAAGCGGCTGTGTGGTGCTCAGTTGCTGGCTGAGGTTAAACCACGACACACATTTAATTTTTAAGCAAAAGCATTTGAGGGACTTGATCTGTGTATTCTCAATCAACTGTGAAAGCAGCTCTTAATAATTAATAGAAAGGGGCAATTTTTTTATGTCTAATAGGTACGTTCCTTAGTTACTTTGTTTGCTTGAGAGTCGTTCTCTGTCCCTTTATCCCTAGCAGCTGTTCTAGCAGCAGATTTTTCCTAGTAGCCAGCTTCGCATAATTTTTATTTATGAAAAACATCTGCAATTTTTTATCTTCCAGTATGGCATTTACTCATCAGTAGAATGAAAGTGGCTGAGAAAGCTACAGACACCTGCTTCCCTCAATGCCTTGAGGGAAGGGACAGTGCAGTACTTCCATTATTTTTTTATACCTCTTCGTCGTAATCTGTCCTTCTTCACACATCTTTCTTATCTTTGTCCTTCTTTAGGAGGGCTATCCCATACTTTTAATACATATAGGATTTTTTTGTGTGTGTTACCCCATATGAGAACCCAGCTGTGCAATGCTGAGAAGTGAAGTAAAGCTCTCGTGCCCCAGTGAGTTCTAACAGTCTCATCAGAAAGTGATGGAGAGATGATGGGGGGGAGCGTCACCACCCTCTGCCATAATCTCCTTTTCAGTAGCTGTAAGTGCACCAAAGGAAAAGAAAAACTTTGATTTGATCAACATGCGTATATCTCACATCATGTCAAGACATTTACTTTTTAAAAAAGTACCCGTAGCCCTAAATATCTGAAGAAGGGTGTTTTTATTTGCTTAAATGAAAATTTCAAGCACATGCGTTCTCTTCCACACAGCATGTGGTTTCATTGACTTCAGTTTGGAGTACTCGGGGTAGAGCTGAACGCAATTGAGGCTTAAAGGCAGGTGTTGCTGAACAGGGGGTAATAACTCCAACCCTGTCATGGCAGTTAGGAACAGGGTTGCGTGCCCAAATAAAATGCAGTTGTTTATTCTCATTTTGGGGGTCACAAGTCCAGCAGAAACAGGCTTCACAGCTAGAAATGGATTTTAACTTAGGAATGTTTTGGGAGTTAATGATTTACAAGGTAAAGACCATATGTATTTAATTCAAGCAGGATAAGCACAGAACTGAATGCCTTTTTTAGCCATTGTTTTGGTCAGTTGTTTCAATAAAGAAAATTCATTGAAAAAAAATCTTGACTTGACAATTATTTTCAAATGCAAAATAAAACTAATTTTGGGAATTTTGAGGGAGAAGTTAGTCATACAACAAATATTAAAAGCTTCTTTTTGGAGAGGTGATAGAATAGTGTTTGAGTGTGGGTGAAGGCAGTTATTATTCTGTGCAGTATAAAATATGCGGAACTTGAAGCTCAGGCTTTATGAAGAATTTGGTTTCAGTAGCAGTTTTTGCTGATGCTTAATTCCTACCTGGATTAAGTACAGAATTTGGATTGATTTGTTCAAAACAAATTTTTCTGTCTTCTCTTTGCAATCCAAGATTACGTTCAGCTAGCTGAGTTCTGGAGTCTTTCACAGGCAGTATGATGTTTCAGATGTGCTAATAACTGCATCATAGTCATGTAATTGTATTAGAAGATAAGACCTGGGATAATAATTTATATGTTAAAAAATGCAAATAGCTCTTTCGGTGAACTAAAACCAATGAGGTTACTTTATTCTGGATATATCACTTACTTGTATTTTGATGTAGGACAGAGCTCTTAAATTATCAGATATTATCGCAAGCAAAGAACATTGAGCATTCATCAGCAGAATATAATCTAGATCTTCTGAATATCATTGTATTCTGTGGAAAACAAACCCATTTACTATGTGAAATGCAAGATGCCCTATCAACACAAAAGGTCAAGCAAACGGGACCTATCCCATGAGTAAAGATTAATGATATTCCTGAGAAGGAACTATTTGTTATAGTCTCGTGGAAGCAGCATAATATACCCATAGCCCGCTTTTGTGTTATTACTGTGTATTTGTTACTGAGCTGCCTGTTAAATAACCCCCTGCCATTTCCTCTGTCCCAGAGTGTGCAGGTTATAGGCAAAGTGAAATTCGACAGCCAGTAAACAGTGATTGTGCCATTTACAGATGTGTTGACATATCTTTCTGTCTTCTAACAGGTAGAAGATGAGAATATCCAGGTACTGAAGAGGTACTTGGATGAGAATAGTTAGATGTTGGTAATTCAGGGGTTATTTCATGCGCACTTAAATTTTTAAGCTCTTTTGGGACAGACTCAGTTTCTTGAACAGAGCTTAACATGGTGCTTCAAGGTGCTTCTGTAGTTTAAAAAATACAGGAGATTAACATAGAAATTAAAATTGCCTTTCAGTTGTAATTAAGAGGTATTTATTAATTGTATTTTTATTTATTTATATATATTTTTATTAATATTTATTGTATATTTATTAACTGTATTTTTCTTCATAAACTAAGACTGTGGGGGGGAAGGGGAAGGAAGAGCATGAAGTAGCAGAGGAAGTGTAACTGATCTCTCGCTTCTGCTTTCGCAAAAATTCAATTCAGTGGACATTTTACCTGGAAAACGTATCAATTTATTGCTACCAGAGGAGGAAGATTGGGAGCAACTTTATGAAGTGCTGTAGGGAATGTATTTGCTGGTTAAGAATAAAAAAGCAATAAATAGCAACATAAGGGAAGGTTGTGTAGAATAGAAATGCCCATGTATAGAGGCTGTTGAGTTTATATGTTCTCCTTTCAGAGATACGATTTGCACAACACTGATGATTAAATTAAAAAGGACAAAAAATTATGAAAAGAGCATGGCAAAACAGGGTTAGGAGTTGTCAAGCAAAATACAGTTTCTGTAGAGGGTATGTTATCTGTATTTTGGCTACTGCCACTGTATAGCTTTAGGACAAAAAAAACAGTTGTAGGGCTTTTGGATGTTACTAAAAGTCTGTAGGAAGCCCGTGTCTGAGGAGAGGTGCTGGCAGGTAGAATCCTAATTATTATAACTTGGTGTCCAAGGGGAATGTTTTTATATACAGAAAGAATATTTGGAGTCAAAGGAGAATTATGGATGTGTAGTCTGAACTGCCTAATGTGCTGATAAGGTGACTGTTAATGCTCCCGATCCAGCACCATCCATTTTCACGAGGGGAGGCTCTGACTTCTCTTCCTGCAGGAAACACAGTTGCAGAATTTGCTCTCATCTTGATTTCTCCCAGCTCCTTGGGGAAATGTTGTTAGAAAGTAGAGATTCTGTGTTGGAAACAGTTGCTGTGTTGGGCTTTTAAATGGAAGTTTTTGTCATGTCGTGTTGTGTTTTTTGCGAAGCACCTAGAGTAACAGGTAAGCTGTTTCAAAATTAAATTTGAATAAACAAAACAATACCCAGTCTGACAGTTTTCATAGGAATTGAAGCAAATTTGATTAATAAGATTCAAATTGAGGTACTGAAACAAGCAACTAATTCCATTAGCGACTGCAAATTAATTCTAAGGAACCTCTCTGGAGAAGGAATTAGCATAGGAAGCCCTGCAAATACGTGTACCATTGGGAACAAAGTTCTGGCCTACAGGTGGTGTGATCTTTCACATACTGGTTATCCGTCCCAGATTACAGTCAGTGGTATGGTCTGTAGGAATCTTTCCCAGGATGACCAGGCCAGTGTATGGTATCTTCATCATCCCTGTGCCATGTCAGATAGCCGTGCTGAGCCCCTCTGGCACAGTGTTTGCAAAAAGCAGTCCCGTGGTGCTTCTGTGATGGAAGAAAAAAAGAACAAATCAATGTGCTTTCATCCAGCTTTTTTCCTCCTCTGAGTTTTGTGTAAGTTCTGCGCTAATTTTCTATCAGTTTGAGAGAACTGAGGATGAGCAGCACAAACATGCGTTACTTTAGAAAAGATGCTACTGAAACGGGGTGAAATTCCCTGACGCATTCAGCGTTGAACTCTGATGAGAAGAAAATCAACAGCAGAATAATGTGATATTTGAAAAAAGCTTGACTAGACTACAAGTGCCTTTTCTCCCATTTAGTTCTAAGTAAATACTAGGGTAGCAAATGCCACAGTGAGTAAGTGGTAGGTTCGTGTGTTTAGGCTTTTAAATGGATAATGCTCTCGCTAGGATGCTTGGGTGAGCAGAATACAGCAGGAGAGAACGAGGGACGAGTGTGCAGCTTTATGATGGGGGAAGCGAAGGGCCAGTGTTAAGCGGCCAGCCTGAGGTAACTTGCAAACTGGTATTGAGGCACTTGGCTTAAAAGTGTTCATGTGTACCTGTTGTTTACAGTATACAGTTTACGGCACTGTGAAATACCAGTGTTCATCAATTACAGCTGAACTTCGGGACTGAAGCAGTAGATTTGCAAAATTTTTTTTAGCCTGATAATATCAGAATCCTCATAAAATCAAGCCGAATCAGAGGGTGATTTTTTTGTTGAATTTGTAAAATATTTAGGCCTCGGTGTTCATCCAGAAGGAGTAACAAATCTTTAAAACCATCCATAGTGTTTTGTGTTTGCATCTCTCTCTCTTGCAGTCTGCCTAAAGCACTTGTCCTCTGTATAACTAGTCCTAGTTCTCTTTTCAGACAAGTACAGTGGCAAGTTTGATGCTGAAAAAGTTACTTGGGTGTAATAGGCTTGAATTTGTCATCTTAAGAGCGTGTGGGTATGATTGCTCTTTTGGGGAGCTATCAGAAAGCTACGACTGCAAGATTAGTTTAAAGAAATATTTTTTCAAACCGCAGCAATGATACTTCAAAATTTCTGCGTGAGAACGAAGGAGAAAAAAAATCCCCGAAGGTCAACTTGAGGAAAAGTCCTAGAGAACAGATCGGTATTGCATGAACCTAGCCTGAATTACTTCTTGTTGAGGCATACTTTGAGAGGAGCAGTACTTCCAGGTTGTTTCCTTTGCTGCGCTAGCAGTCACTCATGCTATTAAATCTGAAATCTGAAGAAACAATCTAGCAAACCTTGTTTCTCATTTGGGTAAAAGACAGCCTTTTTTGCTTTATTTAACAGCATCTGCATATGGTATCTCATCTGGAGCTTAACCAACTGTCTTTTTCACCGGTCTGAAAACAAAAGAAGCACCTCTCTAGCTCTAGAAGGAGGCAAGGTGGGCTTTCCGGCCGGTCATCCCTTGGTTTTCATGTACGTTCTCCTTTTCTTTTCTCAGCAGGTATCCCCCAGGCGTTGTAAGCGTGGCTTCAACTGGCATACCTGCAGCAGTAGAAGGAATAGTCCCCAACCCTATGTCTTTATCACACGGCCTCCCTGCTGTAGCCCACCCGCCCCATGCTCCTTCCCCCGGCCAAACTGTCAAACCAGAAGCTGATAGAGACCACCCAAGCGACCAATTGTAGCCTACAAAAACAGCATTCCCAACATCGGAGATTTCAACGTCAGCGTGTGGAAGACAAACAAACAAAACAAAACCCTGGATTTTGATTAAAGGCAAAACCATGAACTTACAGGAGGAGACGATTATTGGTTTAGAAACTGGTCCAATATACAGTATAAAAGGAAAAGGTGGGAGACAAAAAGAAGATTTGGAAACATTTTTTCCTCCGTATAAATTGTAGTTTGTCCCTGTCCAGTGGACTGATTCACTGTTTCTGTGTCCTATGGGTTCTTTGTTAAGCAAGAGAAGTTAGTAGTTAATTATATCATGAATGTACTTGTCTGTGTACAGTTTTTAGAACATTAAAAAGGGTTTGTTTGCTTAGCTGTCAACAAGGAAAAACATAAGGGAGGCATTCAACAAACCAATTTTGAGATTAAAAATCCTTTCTTTTATATTTTAAAACATGCCCAAAAATGAGGCAGTTGGCAAACTTCTCAGGACAATGAATTTTTCCCATTTTTCTTTCTACGCCACACAGTGCATTGTTTTTTCTACCTGCTTGTCTTATTTTTTAGAATAATTTAGTAAACAAAAGAAAAACAGTTTCTCCTAATTTTGGCATGAATTCCCTTATTTCAAAATGAAGACAACCTTGCAAAGAGATTTTGAGGAAAAAAAAAAAAAGGTTTTGTATAAACGAGCATTGTGCTTTTTGTCACCAGTTAAAGTATATATTATTGGTGGTATGCGAAAAAGGCACTAGACTACTGAAAAGTAGCAGCATTTCATTGCCTACATTGATTCCTTCCTGGTAATGTGGTAGGCTAGCAATATTTTTGGTTAAAATCATGTTTGTGACTGTAACCATTTGTATGAATTATTTTAAAGAAATAAAAATCCCAGACAAATATCATATGTGTAAAAATTTTTATTTCTAGTAACTGTTTATTCAACTTTTATTAGGTTTCTTAGCTGTAATTTTTAAACAGATGCTGTCAAGTATTTCATTTCTAGCTTTACTTTGCTCTCTGTTGTTTGTAATACTGTCTTGGAAGCTTGAAAAATAAAAAATAATAATTCTTTCCATACTATTTTTCCCTTTACATTTCGTAAATGTTGATCTTTTTTCCTGTGTTTCTAATGGAGTTTGAAATTAAGATGGATTTTGATTTGTACACCGGCATCATCAGCTACAATACGGTAACAGCATTTATGCCACCACTGTGGGCAGAGCAGAGGAGGTGCAACAGCAACACGACAATAATAATAATAATAAACGTCTTTTGCCGAAGTCCAACATGAGAAGTGTCCATTGTTTTATTTGCTTTTGTGATGGTGGAAGCGTGCAGCAGGACGTAATTGTATTTGCTATATTGAAGGAGTTTGTTTTTTTGAACACGCGCAGAAGTGTTTTTAAGGCAGGTTGGATTTCAGCTGGAAGCTGTTTTGGCCTTTCCTGTGCTCCTGGATAAGATGTCTGTCCTTCATCCCTACGCAGTTTAAAAAGGCAAGACAAAAGTTTAGCTGCTGCAAGAAGGAAATCCAGGATGGGCTAAAGTGAACCTGGACGTAAACCTCCTCGGTAGTCTCTTGTCTATTTGTTCACTATTAATCTGAAGTAGTAACTGTGCACCTAAGGTTAGTGAGCTGTTTTTATGGGATCTATGAAAAGTTACTGTCCCCCGTTCCTGCAGGTCTATAGAGTGGCCTCCACTTCTGTTAGGAAAATGTTAGGAGGCCGCAAGTCAGGAAAGATTGAAACTTGCAGGGTGGTACCCAAGGAGCACTATATAAAGTGAAATTTTATCTCCGTGGAAGAGTGGAGAGGTGTTTGCCTTGAACATTTAGAGCCAAAAATGTCATCCGTTACGATTCATTTGATGGTAAAACCATTCCTATTCCCTCCATGAAACAAAACAGAAAGCAGCCTTAAAGCTGCGAGTTATCCCAGCAAAGGCACTTCCAACAGCTCCGTGGCCAAGAACTTGCAAAAAACCCGAATGCGGTCTCCTGCAGCTGAAGTAGGATTTCATATTTCATTGGTAATTCATGTTTTAAGATGCTGCTTTGTCAGGCTGGAGATGCTGCTTTAGCATATGTAAAACAAACATTTAACATCTGGCTGCTGAGAATCGCTGACAGTCATATTTGCAACCGAATTTCCTGAGGAAAACCAAGAGGTTTTTTTTTTTCCTTGCATCAGTTTGGACGTGGCTTATGTAAGTAAGCTTTGTTTCCAGTGAATCAATAAATTGACGAACTAGAAATGAAGGCACCAGTATTTATTGCATGCAGTTCTCGGGCGCAGTCCTGAAGCTTGCTGTCCTTCAACTGCGTATTTTTGAGCCATCATCTGTGCTTGCTCAGGCACAAGCTTCTTTGGGATTTGAGCCTGAAATACTGCACTGATGGGTGGGGAAGGGCATCGCCACTGTGCTGGTAACAAGTTCAATGGTTTTATGCTAGTGCTTGAAATACATCTGTCGGTCTGACTGGTGGAGAGTAATCCAGTTCCCTGCTTCTGGAGCAGAAAGGAAACGCCACCCTGGCAATGACAAGACCGATTGGTACTGACTTCTGGGTTATGGTCTTGAAAAGCTGAATTAAAAAAATAATTAAAAAAAAAAGGCTTGGAGTAAATGACTAACTGGAAAAGCGTACCCTACTAAACGAAGGCTGTTAGGCCAGGCTAACCTTTCATCTTTTACAACTGCTTTTGTTGGGTAGTGGAAATGTGATTAGATTTCCTCTGTCTGGAAAAGGATGTGCTAAATAAAGTTTAGACAGAAGAAGACGCAGTTAGTGGGAAAATGTAAAGTGGGAAAGGCAGTGGCAGCAGAGGGCTACTGAGGCAGTGTTGAAAGGTGAAAGAGGAGGTAAGCAAAGTGCCTGCCTCAAACAGTCAGGATTTTTTTTGGTGCTGTTACTTGCATTAAGGATCTTGGCCAAGAAGGAGGCCAACCACTGAAACTGCTGCTGGCTCAAAGGTTGTAGGCGTCACCAGTGCACAGGAGGCTCTGGAGCCTGCACAAGAATTGGACGGTATCAAAGAATGGGCTGTTAGGAGCGGAAAGATACCAGTTGTGCAAATGCAAAGTCGGGTAGTTGCAAGTCAAAACAAAAACTTGGCAGAAAAAGGAGCCATAGTGTTTTCCCATGGTAGGACTGATTGATTGCCACTGTGGGGCAGCCGTGGAAAAGAACGGTGTGATGGCAGAGGCATCTGGCACAGCATTTTCGGTAGGGATGAGAATGGATCAGAGATGCTACACGGGACCTGGAGCGTTTGATCTGTAGTTTTGGTCACGCGTTTTCGAAAGTGTGAGCTCGAGCTGGAGTCGGCAAAGACCGGCTCCCAGAACGACTGGAGGTGCGGAGGGCCTGTCATGTGAGAGGAAACGAGAGTAACTCGGCTTTTTCAGCTTAAAGTGAAGGCTGAGTTGGGGAAATGACTGTAAATAGTAAATGCTGAGGAGGAGGGAGAAATCTGAAAGAAATGCTGGTATATGAACAGACAAGCATAAATGGGGGTTAGGAAAAGATCTCTGTCAGCAGGGAGGTCCTGGGACAGGTTTCCCGCTGGGGTGACTGGGAGTCAGTCCTGAAGTCCCTGCAGCTTGGGTTGAGGTTTTTATTCTGGTTTTGTGTTTGGGGTTTTGTTGGGTTTTGGTGAGGGTTTTTTTTTTATAACTTTGTTTTTATAATCCAAAGTGTGAGAACATTGTTTAAAGGTCATACAAGGTTGCTACCAAACCAACAACTAGAGGCCTTTTCCATTCAGGGTAAAACACTTCAGCTTCCTTTATAACAAGCCTCAGGGCTTTTTCCTTTAGTATGTTTTTTTTTGAGAAAATGCCTTATTATTTTCTTGTCCAGCCTTCCACCTCAAATGATTAAGGCTGGCTTTCCAAATGGCTGTGACTGCTGTAGTCTGGCTGGTACCAGTTTACTCCTTGCCTCAGAATGAAAGGTTTTCTTCTCGTTTAATCTCAGTAGATGCTTCAATAATGTCAGTTGTTCTGCTTGAAGGAGAAGGCAGCACTGCCAGTATTTCCTTTATTCAGTTCACTCCAACCTTTCTACCTTTCGTAAATTGAAAAAAAAAAAAGGGGGAAAAAAAAAGCAGTCATCGGTTTTAAGGGCAGAGAGTAATATTAGATCATTTTGTCTGACCGCTTAGTAAAGCCGTTAAATGTGATATGCTTCTTCATTAAATCTGATACTGTGTTTTGACTGAAGTAAATCTTTCAGAAAGATTTCTAGTCTTTATATTAAAATGTCAAGCAATGGGGTTTTGCCATTTCCTTTGATAGTTTGTTTAAATGGGGGATAACCGTCACTATAATTTTTAAACTGGTTTATTTAATTTGGCTTTCCCTGTCTCTAAATTCCAGTTATTGTTTCGTGTTGAACATGAGGTCATGTAGGCTGACTTGAATTTAGTGAGCATGTCACATTTTAGCCAATTTGCCTTTGTACTGAGGTCAGTGACACATCTTCCAGGAAGACCAAAATATGTTATTCATCTGTTTTCTTTTCCAGTTTCTTTCATTATACTGTACATCCTTTCCTTTGTGGCTCTGTATTTTTGTCCTTTCGAATTACGTAGTCCAATATGGTTATCTTCTGCAGATGAAATTGCAGGATTTCTCATCTTCTCAGACTTTCAGCTATTGTCTTCTTGCCTCCACTGACTTTCCGATTTCCTTGGTAAACTATTTTCCTGCAAAGTCACAAGTGCTTGAAGAACTTGATTAATCCTCTTCTCGGTCTTCAAATTGCATTTGCCTAGGTAGCACCTCATTAATAGCAAAAGCTCCACGCTGAGTAGATGCTCAACGCAGTGGTCCCACTTTCATAGTCCAAGTGCTCGCTTTCATCCCACCATCTGCACCCATTGTGTGTCTGCCTCTTGCAGAACAGACCTTATCTGGGTCTCATACCTTGTGTCGGGCTGTTCGTCCCTCAACATCTGCCTCCTGTCCTTCTTCCTTGTTTCCTTCTAGCATTCAGGGGACCTGGCACGTTACTTTTAGAATTCTTCCCTTTTTTAGAAGGAATGTCCTTTAGTTGGTTCTGCTTTTCATCTGTGAGTTCCAGCTCAACACAGACCAGTTGTTTTTCAGCTCTCTCCTTGGCTGACCTCCATGCACACTACCTCGCTAAACCCATATCCAATATTGTATTTTTCATGTCCACTTTTGGGTTTGGGATTGCCCAGTTGGTCTTTTTTTATGCAGTTCCTCATCTGGAGTTTCCTTCCTTCATTTTCTGTACTACAGAAACAATTATGGCTCTTCAAATCTAGTCTCAGCGCTTTTTCTTTGCCTTTACATTTCTGCTCAGAGTCATAACGGAGTGTTTTCTTGAAGGAGCATTGTTTGTTTTGGGGGGGTTGTGACACTGTGTCAAGACCACCATGAACAGACTGAAGTATGTCCTTAGGATGATTAGAGGCATTTGAGACATTTCCAAGATGATGTAGATCATTCTCCGAGTGTGCCAATCCGTTGAAGACATTTGTTACTTGCACAATCTTTAACTACATATCTATCCCCCTTCTTTCATGTGTTGCCTAAAAAGGATAAGCGATTGCCAGTTGGAAGCGTTGATGATCTGCTCAAGAAATAAAGTAAGGAAGTTTAAAAGAAAATACATTTAAATACTTGAATATGTTTTGAGTTGCAAAGATTTAAAGTAATAAAAAGGAGCAAAATTATTAGCTTAAATTTCCACAAGAACCTTTTTTACGTATCAAGTTTGATGTATTAGAAGTAGACAATTAACGTGTCAATGTGACAGTGCTATTTCTTCGTCTGTGCTGTGAAAGTAGGGTCCTTGTATAGTTTGGGAAAAGCTTATGGAGCTGGTCCTCCCTGGATAAACCCTAAGAGTTAGGGCAGCAAATCAACATCTAAAAATAAATCTCCTGAAGAGCTGACATCTCAGACTTGTGTTTCCAACCCCCTCCGGCCATTTTCAAAATGTCCCACCCGATGCAATAGATTGAATTCTCAAGCTAGTTGCCTCCGACACAGCTGTCGGCTTCACAGCATATTCCCCTTCCCGGGAACTCGGCAAGCAGCGGT